GGGGGTGTGGGTGTGGGTGTTGGTGTGGGTGTTGGTGTGGGTGTGAGTGCGGGTGTTGTATGAAGGTAGGATGCATAACTACACGCACACCCCCACCCACCCCCACCCACCCACACCCACCCACACCCACACCCACACCCACACCCCACACCCACACCCACACCCTCAAAATAAGAAACTTTCCATGTTTTACATGAATACAGCAAGCTACACAGAACTATTAAAAATAACGCAATTCAACCTACATTTTTTTGGCAATCTGCTGGTAGCGCTAAAAGTCGATATAGGCTAACGTTTCTACAGATAGCTCAAGGCTCTCATATGAAACGTCGTTCGTAATTGTACTTTGTTTTCGTTTATATATATGAGAAAAATAACTATTAAAAATAACGTTAACAACCTTTAAAATTTTTTTTTCATAGCTCTTTGAGATGTACCAATTTTTTGGTCTAGAGCCAGAGAAAATAAAATGTAAATTATATGGTTCGATAGAGTAGTCGATGCTCTATCCAACTGTGTTAAAATACGAAACTTCCACTATTCTACGTAAATATAGCAAACTACACAAAATTATTAAAAATAACGTAATCAACCTGTATATATGCTTCGTTTTGATTTAATAGGGATGTCATTTTATGTGATTTGGTCGTTTTTTTTTCGATTTATTTTTAATCGTAACGTTTCAACAACGAGGTTGTCTTTATCAGACATCGAACAATATTAACAAAGTTATGGTGTTTTTTCATGCACAAGTCTCTTTCTTTCCTTCTCTCTCAAGGTTAGAGAGAAGGAAAGAAAGAGACTTGTGTATGAAAAAAAACCATACTTTTGTTAATGTTGTTCGGTATTCGAAAGAGAAAAAGTAATTAAATCAATTCAAAATATATGATACGTTTCTCTTTCTTTTTTTAGAATCGTTATAAACAACAAGCTGTCACAAAGAAAACTAACGTGGACAAATATATTTTAAAAAATGACTACGACATTGAAGGATGATGGTAAAAATTCGAAACAACAGCAGCAAGATCATGATAATTCGGCTTCAAACAAGGTTACAGTCGTCGATAAATCTAAGTTTTATCACTCTCTTACCAGTTCGGCAGAGGAACCTTCACATTCACCAACATCCATATCGTTACCAATGACAACCAAAATTTTGGATTCACAACAAAATTTGGAAAGTATTATACTAATTTGGTATGATTCGAATATTGATAAAACTAACGATACGAAAGAGACGATGAATATATTGCGAGAAATTAATAATTGTGTCGTATTTCATATTGATCTACAAATTTGTATTAATTATATTAAATCAATTAAAAATGAAAAAATATTTCTTGTTACATCAGGAAAGGATGCTACAATTATTTTAAAAGAAGTTAATCCATTGATACAAGTTGATTCAATATTTATTTTCTGTTTTCAACCTACAAAATATCAACATCTATTACAAAAAAATACTAAACTAATTGGAATTTTTTCGAAACGTCATGACTTAATAAATTCTCTTAAAGAAAATATTATTCTCGTTGAAAAACACTTACAAACATTCAGTTTTTATAATCAACATAAAGAAAAATCTACCAGAGATTTATCGAAAGAATCAGCTGAATTTCTATGGTTTCAAATGTTTAAAGATGTCATTTTACGACTACCAAAAGATAATCGTTCGAAACAACAAATGATTGAATTTTGTCAACATTATTATCGTGGAAATCAAAAAGAATTAAAATTTATTGATGAATTTAAAATGAACTATCAATCGAATGTAGCTATCAAATGGTATACGAAAGAGACATTTCTATATAAAATTGTCAATAAAGCATTGAGAACTGAAGATATTGAACAATTACATACATTTCGATTTTTTATTGCTGATCTATCATTTAATCTTGCTGTTGAATATCGAAAATTGAAAGATAAAGGTGAAAAGATTGTTATGCTTTATCGTGGACAAAAAATGGAAGAAGAAGAACTCAAAAGTTTAAAACAAAATGAACATAATTTAATTTCAACAAATGGTTTTCTATCAACAAGTCGTTCAAAACAACTTGCAATTAAATTTGCTACAAAATCGACTACACGTACAAATGTTTTTTCAGTTCTATATGAGATTGAATGTAACATTCAAAAAACAGAATCAATTATTTTTGCTGATATTGCACAATTTAGTGATTATGCAAATGAATCAGAAGTTCTATTCGATCTTGGAGCAACGTTTGATATAGTTTCTGTCAATGAAGATATACATTTAAATCTATGGTTAATTAAATTGAAAGCTAGTGATAAAGGATCAAAAGTAGCTAAAGAATATATCGAACTAAATAGAAAAGAAGAAGAAGAAACTAGTATTGAACTGATATTTGGTAAATTACTAATTGATATGGGACAGTATGATCAATCATTAAAGTATTTGCAAAGTTTATTATTAAATAATAATCCTGCACAAAATCACGATATCGCAAGAATTAATAATCTAATTGGATCTGCATATCATAGTAAAGGTGATCTTGATGAAGCACTTAAATATTATGAACGTGCCTATGATTTAATGATCAATGTTAAACCAAAACGATTGAAAGATTCAGCAAGACCATTAACAAATATAGGTCTTATCTATCATCAAAAAGGTCAATATGGTCGTGCACTTGAATTATATTTAAAAGCTATGGAAATATTTGAAACATATTATGGAAAAGAACATTTAAAAATAACAAAAACACTTACAAATATTGGTAGTATATATACAGATATTGGAGAATATCAACGTGCATTACAATATTATAAAAATGTACTAATAATTCAACAACGATTCTTACCGTTATATCATATTGATACTGCTATGACATGGAACAATATTGCAGTAGTATATGAAAAATTGAATGATCTCGATCGCGCATTAGAATATTATCAAGAATCATTAAATATGAAACAAAAATTACTTCCATCTGATCATCAAGACATCGCTTCGACAAGAAATAATATTGCAAACATAAATGATAGAATGCAACAACTTCAAATTGCAACCCATGTTCCAGCTATGCCGAAATTCGGAGTTCGAAATAAGCTTCAAGATTCATTGTCGACTGCTGCCATTGACAGTAGTGAGCTTAAGGATCCCTATCCAATGACAGACTTTGAAAGTCCTAAGCTTGACGATCCAATATATAGATATCGGCTTTCAACGCTTAGAAATGAGAGCGACACAGGCAGTTCGAACAGACCTAAACTTGACTACCCAATAATTTCCTGTCTGCCTCCAAAGCTTAGAAATGAGAGCGACACAGGCAGTTCGAATAGACCTAAACTTGACTACCCAATAGAGTCCTGTCTGCCTCCAAAGCTTAGAAATGAGAGCAACACAGACAGTTCGAATATACCAAAGTTTGCATATCCTAAGTATAATGCAATGTCGACTAGTTCTTCCAGTTTGATAGAAGACAAATGAATATGAAGATGAAAGAAAATCATATTGTTTTCAAATCAATATGGCCAATTGTAACTATATTTCTTTTTTTCGTTATAATTGTGCATATTTAATTGAATAAATAAATAATAGTATTTGTTTGATATGTTATAGTTTCATCAAAAATTTTAAAGACTCATAAGCAAATATGTCGTTAGAGCATTAATGAAAAGAACTTTTCATGGAATTGCATCATCTACTTAGTTAATGAGCAACAAGCATATTATAATCATCGAACGATTATTTCTGGATGTGACTGTCAAATAAATATCTACATGGATATTTTTTTTTGTACTTGGTAGATTGAAAATAGTCCGCATATGATAAAAGTAAATCAAACAAAACATTTCAATTAGATTTTATTTGAATATGCCAAGATATACTTTTTCATGCAATAGAATTAACAACTATACTATCAGAATAGATGAAGATTAAACCATCTATTTATGCAAAAAACAAATCATTAGCATAGGCGGCGGAACGTTTTGAATCCAGGGTAGGCTCAACACTTTTTATAAGACTCGTACCGACAGGTTAAATATAGAGAAGGTAATTTTTTCCTGCTATACCATTCAAATAAAACACAATTAATACTGCTTATTTCCAGTTCAAATTTTTTAATTCTTAGTATTAGTTCAGATCAAAGATGAGTTTACAACTTATGGCAAAAAAAGCTTGTATTCAAATAGCCACTTAAACTTTTGTCTTGATTGAATGATGACCTTCAGATATAGTCCATCGGATGCAAAATTTTTGAATCGGAATTCGGAATAGTAGTCTTCGTGCTCTCAATACAATTCTTTTACCCCAATTTGATAATTATTTCGAAGATACTACATTGTTTTTTCGGTGACTACACTGTAAAAAAAATCGGTTTATTACGAAACCTGTGCTCGCGCTCGGATCCTTTAAGGTTTCGTAATAAACCTATTTTTCCACAGGGTGTGGGTGTGGGTGTGGGTGGGTGTGGGTGTGG